AATTTATTTTACTTGTGTTTCTTTGCCTCTATTTGTGTGCAAATGTTAGTATAACACATTAACTGAATCTCTATATTGTTAAGGGCACAAACTTTTTTTTTTCTTTAATAGGAGCTCAAATGTAGAGCAACAGCAGTGGAGAATAAATGTGTAAAGTTGTCAAATGCTCCATATGACCAGATAACATTCTAAAGCATATGTCACAGGTTATAATTTTGTCCTATCCGTTAACCTTTTGCCCATCCTTACTTGCTGTTGAGTGCTGTCATCACCCCAGATTATCTCTGACTAGAAAGGGCTCTTGCAATTCCCTTTCTGGGCTGCCCTGTTGATCACCTGGTGTGGAGTGTTGCATGTGTGATCCAGATGGCCCTTTTGCTTCCAAATTCCTCCTCAGGAGAACTGTCTTCCTTTTACTGGAGTTTGTGTTGGTGGATTCTTTGCATCCACTCCCCCAGCCCCCTCCCATCCAATATTTGGGTGCTCTCAAGATAGGTGTTTAAACAGAGTTGTACTTCAGCATAACTTTCTGAAGACTGACTTTAAAAAATGGGCTCAGTTATTAATTTATAAATCATTTTCTAATCATTGTTTTGACTAGTCCAACACCAACATATTTAGATGTCTGTAGAAGATGGTGTGTAGAAGATTTTGAGGGGCCAAAATGCCGTAATTATCCATTAATATTCTTAAAAGGAAAGAAAATAATTCCTTCTTATGATCTGAGGTTCAGTACAGTTTGTGATAAGTCTTTTTGATGTCAGTGCATGTTGACCTAGACCTGTTGTGCTAAATCCTCCCAATGACCCAGAAACACAGATTAAAAAAAAAAGTAGTTTCATTGTATATCTCAAATTCTCTATTCTTTAATGCAGCAGTTTAGTTCCAATAAGGATGTAGAAAACTATATGATTCATAAGTGAGTGTTCACATATACAATTGAGAATTTCATACCTGTGACAGAGGAAGACACATGGAGGTGGTTAATTTAACCCAAAATCTAACAGAATCAAGTAATTCCAATCTACAGTTTGGAGGAGTTCTGTGAGACTGTTTCCCATGCAAATCTTTTTTGTTGCTCTTGAATTCAAATGAAAAAATCTGGTGTTTAAATTCAACTTTTTGTGCTTTGTTAAGGTCCAGTAAGTATTGTGAACAATCTCAAGCTAGATATGTAAATGCTTGAAAAAAAGAAACGCTTTTCTCTCATGACATCTTACTTTTCAGATCATGTTCCCATATGGTTTTCAGTCATGGAATTGCTATTCATAATCCTTGTATTAGGGTTAAATTTATTTTTATTATGTTAAAAGCTTTGCTTTTATTCATATCAAGTCTATAAGTAGAATGTCTAGACTTTGAATTATATTAAATCCACTACAATTTATTTAAGGATTACTTATTTGTAGATATTTGTGCAGAAAGGCCATTAATGTGGTGAGCAATTTGTTCATGGACATCAGGGTTGTGACAATCAACTGTAATTGCAGGGCCATAGCATTTATTACTACAGTGTTACTTGACTGTTTTGCTGCTTTTAACGATAGAAATTGTTCTTTATTTTTTGTTGTATTCACAACACTACTTCTGGCTACATTCCCTGGACAAACTGACAAATTTAGATGTATTTGATGTGCCTACTGGATGCCGATACTGTACGAAAGCCTAAGAAAATGTTAATAGCAAGGAATGCAGCTCATATTGTCTCGCTAATGTTTGCTGTCAGATATTTTTCAAATGTGAAGTGTCAGGTTTAAAGCTTGCGAGTGTTTGGAAGTTGAAAAACATGAAAGCACTGATGGGTGAGTTACCTTGCTAAGTACTTGTGTCACATTGCACTTCTCCCATTTTTCATAACAACACATTTTAACTTCTTTGGAATACAAAAGCCTCTCATTTTTAGACTACTACAGTAGTCCTGCATGAAACTTTGCACTTCAGCAAACCATGGAAAACGTATGGGAAGATTCATCATTTCAGCTCCGTGTTTTTCACTTGTCTTTGTGTGCTGTTCATGTAGTGCAGTATTAGAGAAAGTGACTGCTGCTCATGTTTATCTTGTAGACAAAGAGTAAGATAGACCGTATAAGACTCCCACTGGGAAGCACCTACTTCCCAAGCAGTTTCACTAAAGATAGATGGGTCTTTTTTTTTTTTTTTTTTTTTTTTTGGAACAGCTGACTAGTAGAAGGAGTAATATTGTTTAGTTTAATCCAAAGCAAGGATGGAAATTAATTTCTGTGTCCCTGGTAAAAATTAACATGTACAAGATTAATTTGTAATCTTGTCAAAATCTTCTGTCCAAAAGTTTAGGCATCTAATCTGAACTAGATGCCTAGTCTCATTCTACAGTAAAAAGAGGCATTGGTAAAAGACAGTTCATTCTGCTATATGAGAGGCAGATAAGTTAGGTCCATTCCCGAGCAATTCATCCCAACTTTCTTTCATCCTTGATTTCAGTGCAATGCAAAACAACTAGTTTAATTTAGACATCTTGCTTTTAAATGCCTGTTGTCAAATGAGGGGAAGATATGATCGTCTTAAAAGTATATATACATGTATATGTATATATGGGGCATGAAAACTACAGGCTACAAGTTTAGCTGAAAGAGATTAACCAAAAATAAGAGCAAGAGTGAAATGATTTTGGATCATCCTTAAGCTGTTTTACCGACAATTACTACTAACACGGGGTTGTTTGCATAATATAGAAAAATACAAGTCACCAAGTATCAATGTCAACCCAGAGCTTACATGTTATATTGTAATGCGGAATTCTGGAGCAATAGAAAAAAAATCAAATCTGTAGTACAAAATAGCTACTCCAAGCAAGTCTTTTGTCAGGTAAGACATTGATCTGAAGTCATTGTGTTGCCTTCTGCTGGCACCTGCCAAAAGCTATTGCAGACTTATTTGTCCAGCATCATAATCTGCATGATTCATTGCTGAAGAACATAGTTAATGGACTTCAGACAAACTCAAAAACTTCCCTTGAAAGCAGAAGACTTTGTGTTTAAAGAAAGTTAGGGATGGGGGGCGAGAGAAGAGGAGGAGGGGGATACAATTCCTACTTGTCAACACTCATCTGCTTACAAACTGCTGAAAACTTTACTCTCTGCATTCAAAAGGCCTCAAACATAAAAATGTCAGCTGAATTAATTAAATGCTTGAGCACTGACAACTGCTGGAGTATTTGAAGGATTCAGGCATGGTTTTAAGACTGCAAGGGTCACAAGAGAGATAGTGTCATGTTTCAAGCAGATGTGAAACTTCTCATTGAGAATACAACTATGACATGGTAACTGTTCACACAATTCACACAATTTTGCTTATAAAACGATGGCAGAAGAAGGAAAAAAATATATTTCCCAAGTATTTCACTATGCATTTTTCTGCTCCTGTCATTAACAAAGTTTTCTAATAATAAAAGAGCAGAATCTTCCACTAAAACATGTTTTTTATCCCTTACTTGAATAATCTTCTAATGACAACTGCCCTCAAATCTCTGCATTCTCTGTGACTGTGTGGAGGTTTGAAGTAAGACAGTGACTACTGGTGTATCACCTGTATTTAATTCACATTGAGTCCTTTTGAAGAACTGTTTCTGAGGCAGTCTGTGCTTCTAGCCGTTCTTTGACATTTTGTTCCCAAGAAACAAATCATTCAGTATCTTCTCACTGAACAATCGTAGAGGGAACAGCTCATTTGAAAAAAAGCTGGGAAGAGGGATGAGGCTTCCTTTCTCCAAGCCAAGACTCGTGTCCCCATTATTACGGACTGTGAAGCTTTAAATGCTGATCTTTGTTAGTCTCCCTTGCACTCTGATCTTTGCCTTATCAGTGAAAGAGCTCTTAATATGTGATACTATTGGTAAAATGTAGATAATCTTATTTGCTTACCTATTTTCCAGGATTGAAATTGAGTGTTAATTAGTGTTTGTCTGACATATAGAGTATGTGAAATATCTCTGTATAGGCAAGGATTCTTTCATGGGCAGAGTTCTCAGCATTGACTGGTAGAAGTGGCTTTGTTTCACTTGTATTATCAAATAAAGGCTTGTTACTCCTTCAGCAATACCATTGTGCAGAACAGATGCCATTTTGTTCATGGAAAGTTGTAGTTGTATGTTAACTTGTTGAACTGTGTTTTTGTAAAAAAGAAACAATCTGGTATTTGTTCTTAAATCTTTGTATACAGGAAGATACTAGAGTTAGATTCTAGTAAATCTAGTTGCCTAAAATCTCATTGCCTAAAAGCTTCAAAAGTAAAATACCCTTGGGGATTTATAAAACTTTAAAACTTTTTAAAACGCAGAAGCTCTTCATTGTGTGGTTATATGTGGCCCAGTTATTGCCATTGCAGTGACGTGTGTTTCATTAGATCAGCAAAATGAGTGCTAAATGACACCAGTTTAATGGAGCATTAAAACCAAATACTTTTAAGATTTGGGATGCTGCAGGGGAGGTGCTGGGTGCCTTCTGCTTTCATTTCAGTCATAAATTGTGACACAAAAGATGCTGAAACATTCATGGAAAGATATTAACTAGCTTTTAACACACTTAGGTCAGACACACATTAAAACAAGACTGTATTTTATGTTTAAATAGGATTCTGGATGCCCAGAGGACTCTAATAATGACCAGATGTGAAATAAGAGAAATATTTGGGAGCAGTTAATGCCTAAACCATAAAAATGACTATGTGCAAGCCCCTACAGAATATGGTTTGTGGGCTGGGGGGTAGAAGGCTTGGTGTATTATTTAAATTCTCTTTGTGTATATTCATACCTTGCTAGGACAAAATCAAGTAGCTAAGGGAAATATTTTGATCCAGTCCCGAATTTTTGTGTAATTTTCCTAGTGCTCAAATCTGTCTTTTTATTTGAACTGAGCATGAAGACAAGGGCAGGAACATGTACCTCAGTTTGACAGATAACATGCTGCGAGGCCTTCATGTGCTGAGGCTGCATAAGTAGATTCTGATACTTTTATTACTTTCAGGTGAGCGTCCTTATCAGTGTCCTTACTGTGACAAAGCTTTCAGCAAGAATGATGGATTAAAGATGCATATTCGCACTCACACAAGGGTAAGTCCTACAGAAGGGTAAGTGTAGTTTTTTGTGTTTACTTGTCTATGAATTGTGTGTAGGGGGGAAATAAGTTACTGCTGTTTATATAGAGATAAGGCTGTATCAACCAAGATACGTTATACTCCTCAAAAGAAGAGGAAAAGATTTCAGTCATTAACTGTTAAATTCCGATTTTGTTTCTCCTTACTGACCTTCTATTTTTAATGTGTTCAATTTCTTGTATGTAATATAATAATAGCACTAATTCCTTCCTGTAATCTGTCTTCATCTATACATATAAGAAATGTTTTCGTTTTTCACTGGGAAAAAATTCTATAAAGGCTTCACCATTGAAACCTGAATATTCAGTGCTATGTTTCTTACTGTCGTTGTTCAAATCCAGTCACTGTGAGCTTTTCTACAAAAGGCTATACTTTATTAATTGATGACAAATATTAAGCTGTAAAACAACTTGGTGAATTAACTGATGGCAAAGTAAAAGGGAAGTTTTAGATGTCTCCAAGATCATTCTTGAACTTCAAGTCTCAGTTACAACAGAGGTTCTTGTTCTAAAATAAACAGCTTGTCATGCATGTACATTTGCTAGAGGACAAAGGCAAGATCTCAACTCCACTCAGCTATTGCTTATTCCTTTCCAGCAAGGAAACTGAAAGCTGCCTTTAAGCAGACAGCTGTGAATTCCCTTAATAAAGGGAAATCTGTAGCAAAAGTAAAGCCAGTCTGCATTCTGCATCCTACCTCCCTCTGGCTTCCCCATTCACCCACTGGGGAAAAAAGAAAAAGCAAATTATAGCCTTTATCCTTTGGATAAGGCTATCCCAAGTAATCCCTTGGGAACTGTTAACTGCTTACAGAAGTTAAGGCAGCCTTGAGGCCAAACCAGCAAGTTCCCTATCCATTAGAATATGAGGAAATTGGGACTGAAGTTAGTGGTCTCCATATGCTAATACACACATGCAATAATTTACTGCTAAGATTAAAAAAACAAAGATTAAAAAAATAGTTCAAGGCTGTTTTTTTCTTTAAATTTCTTTCATTCTACCCAAATCTTCAGCGTATTAGCTGGAGGTCATTGATAAAGTATTACCTATCATACCCCAAACTTAAGTTTGGAAGTAATTGGTAGTTTCTCTAATGCTGCCTGGAGATTCACTGGTAGAGGGGTAATGCCATGACAGGAGTTCTTAATTAACAACTTTTCTTGGGTTCCCTAGCACAAGAAAAGTGCAACTTCCTTTTCATTTCATATGCTTATGGATAGCTGCTTAGCATATTTAAGTTATATTCCCTTTTTTTCCCCCCTTTTTTTTTTCCCCACATAAGAAAACTGCGTAATGTAATAATAATGCAAAGCATTTGCAATGCTTTTCTTCAGTAGATCCAGCAAACTGTGACTATACCACTTCTTGCAATCAAGGATTGGGTCATTGAGAATCTTTAATTTGGATTACCTGGTTCACAGGAGATTCAGAATTTAGTTTAATACCTATTTAGTATAGCACACAGAATTCCTTATAAAATCTCAAAAGATTATATATATGTAAATATATTCTGTTGCATCATCTCTGAATTTCTGAATTGAATGTTTTAAACCTAGTGTTATGTATTATTATGTAATGGGAAAATACAACGTGTTTTATTATTTTCCTTTTCTTATCCTTTCTTACACTTACATTTTCATTTGATTTTTTTCTCGCATGCCTACTGCAGCACAATTATTCAGAGAATAGGGTATAAATCCAGAAAATATTTTTTGAATTGGTTAAGCCTATCAGAGTAGGAAAAAAGAAGAAAAAAAAAAAACCCAAAACATTCATAGCACCCTTCTTCAACAGCCATACTAGCAGAAATCTTGAAAAAGATTTTGGTCAGCAGATTGTGAAGTAGCTTAAATGTAATAAATATGACATTCAACAAGGCAAATGTCATTGCAGAGATCAAATCTATATTTTACCAGTGGGATTAAGTGCCAAACTTGATCCTGTGGATCGGGGAGGCTGCTGGAAAAACCATTGTAGAAAGTTGATTTAGGTCTGGCAGCTGCCAAACTGAGAGCAACCTGGGTGGCCACAGGTGTCAGCTCTAATGCTGGAGTAAACAGAGAAGGTAAGTCAAAACTCCTACTGACAATGTAAGGGGAAGAAAATACCAACCACTTAGTATTAAAATGTCACCTGAGTACTGATTTTCTTCTATAAAAATAGATGTGATTTTTTTTTTCCCTGAAGAAAAAGAAGTAAAACATTTCAAACATAAATGTGGAACTTACTGAATGTCTTGGTGAAATGCATTTACAAACTATGTCAGCTTTAAAGATATATGTATATCTCTATGTATATTAAGTACTTTGAGCTTTAACATGGAGGAAAAAATACTGTATTTTACTGTAATATAATTGTTAACATTTTAAAATGTAACACTATATATGTATCCAAAATTATTATCATGTTAAATCAATGTTTTTGCATCTGAAAATGTTGTTTTATTACATGAAGGGTATTACAGGGCAGTGATGGAAACTGTAAGAATAGAAGCCATTACAAGTGTTTTTGTCACTTGAATTAAATATTTTATTTTTATAATTACAAGGTGTAATAGCTTGTTTAAAAATCAGAGTTCTGGTGGTTGAAAATCATCTGTTTCAGCATGCTTAAAACGCCTAATATGCAGCCTACTCTATAAGAAATAGATCGAGTCAAGCGATGTGCGTTGTAAAACAAATGCACACATAGCAACAATTCCCTTCTCCTGCCCAGCAAAAGAAGCAACAAACCTGTTTTTGTAATCATGTAACTGACTTGTCCGCATTTGAAATGCTTGGCCAGTATTGATATCTACCCGTCTAACTACCTATTTCTATGTATATTGCGTGGGACTGGTTAATAGGCTGTTGCTGTTACATAGCTTCTGGATACTTTAGTTATCCTTACCTACAACCCCGTTTCAGGGGCTTCACCTCTTATTTTTACTGGTTCCTTCTAAATTGGCAGCCTGGATACCTTTAGCAGTGCAGTCTCTGTAATGCAAGGATTGGTCTGGTCTAGTGGCCTATATTGGGTATATTTTGGAGCCTGCTCCTCAGTTCCTTAATCCTATGCTTAGTAGTGGCTGAGTGTCTGCTCAGGCTACAGACACATGAGTGCCTTCAGCTTAAAGTTATCTACAGAAGGTGAGGACTGAAGGCCTGACTGCATTATGTTCAACAGTTAACTGAGTTAGTTTGGAGTTTCATTAAAGAATTCAATGGAAATAGTACAAGTGAACATGGAGCTTAGTCTTTGCTAAGGTTTTCCTTCCAAGTCAGTGTTTTAGTTTGCTGCCAGGATCATACGGGCAGCAAACTGTCTTCATCTTGGAGTTGGGTGAAAAGCTCTCTTCAGAACACTCATTTGAAATTGGACAGTTTTTTTTTCTTTAATGGGATTTTTTTATTCCAGAAAAAATAATCTTTAATACAAGAAGAAAATATTGAAGAATGTCATAATTTTCTTTGTTCTGTATTTCCTAGGAAATATTCGGGCTTAAGAAAGCTTTAAAAAACATATGGTCTAGAAAAGACTTTCCATGCCATTCCCCCCTCACTCTGTCCCTAAAAATATATAGTCTTGTATGCACAAGACAGTTTGTCATGAAATAATATATGAGGTGTAGATTGAGTTTTGCTTTTTTTCGATATTAGATTCTCTCTATATTTCCCCGTAGGTGAGACATAACTGAATTCCCAAACATCTGTGTGCTTGAAGATGATGGTTTTGCCAGTGGTATGCTTTCTTTGCTTGTGAAATCCCTGTTCGTATACAGAATATAGAATGTTTGAATACTACTTCACCTGTATTTTTTTCACAATCTCTTTTTTTTTGTTGTAATGTGGACTGGTGATCTTTTTGCCCTGATAAAGAGAAAATATTTTTGTATTGCTACCGTTCTACCACGAGCAGATCAGCATGTGTTCAGTTCTCATGCCCGATTAAATAACTCCGTTATATCTTAGGGGCAAAAAATTTTTGTGTTGGAAAGTTTTTACTTCTAAAGCGTTTTATTAACTGCATTTCTCATTTATTGAATTTTAATCACCATAAGATTCAATACCCTGCAAATTCTGGAGAGTTACAAATTTTCATCAACTTTGTCTTTCCATGTCAACATTACTTAAATAATTTAATGCAAGTCTGATCATTTAAGTAGGCCTCTGGATGTGGGAAAGCTACTTGTTACAGTTTCCCAAAAAATTTGTAATTTCTAAGAGAGCATCTTGTTAGTTCTTTCATATTCTTCACAGTTAGATACAACACTGGACTCCATTAACTGTCACCATCTGTGATCTTAGGTGCCTTAGTCTCTATTCTCAACAGCAGATGTGTTACTACCTAGCTGAAAATATCGCCGCTGTGGCTTTCTTGATATTAATTAGCTTAATAGATTTTATAAGGCTGAAATGTAAATTTAAACTTCAGCAGCATAAGCAGCCCTTACTGCAGAAAGTATTGTACTGTCTTTGTTACCCCACTCAAGTTCCATGCCAGTTCCAGATAGCATTACTGCATGTGCATCTTGCCTGTTGGCATTAAGAGACTTTTGCTTTGGCAGCAAAAGAAATCTCTTTGCTTTAGAGCAATTAAAGCAATTTAAAAACAACAGGCAAGAATTAAAACCATATGAAATAAAGGAGGATCTGTCAAAATATGCATTTTTAAGTATTTCAGTATCAAAAATACAAGCTGATTTAAAAAAAAAAAAAAAAAAAAAAAAAGCTCTTTAATAAGTATAAATCTCCTCCAGCAAAGGTCTGTACCTGCTGTTTGCCAAGAAACAGGTTGAGAGCTGCCCATGCTTATGCAGGTTTTACTGACAAACCTCATGTAAGTTCTAGGACCATCAATCACAGCCTTATTTTTATTTTTTCTTAAACACTTCATGTTTACCTCCAGATTTCCCTGTTATCCTTTATTTTGGTACCTTTTATCTTGTGTAATCAATTGCAGTATGTTTATTACAGATAACCCTGCATGCCAATTACATTCTGTGTACAAGTTAATACACAGAATGTATTTATATGTCTTAGGGGAGATGTAGGCAGCTGCAGCAACAGTTAGCAGTGCAGATATTCTGCTTTTAAGTATTTCCATCTGCCATACTTGTAGCATAGGCTGTACACGTGTTCTGTCAATCTGTTAAAGGTGGTGGTAAGTGTCCTTGAGAATTGGTCTTATTCTGAATTTTTTCTAATGCAAGACACTGTTTGCATAGGATCGAAAATAGTTGTTCATGATTCAGAGAAGGCACTGTTTTATTTGTCACAGCAGTTAAAACACTGAATTGCACTTATGCTTTTAACATAATGAAGTAAAAACTGTAAGGAATTGGAACTTGGGAATTGGCCTACTGTTTTGCCAAGCATCTCCCCGAGTGCCAAGTCCCAGCTGGGTTGGCCACTCTTAGCTTAGAGGCCAGAAGATTGTAAAACATGATCTACATGTGTCTATTTATAACTGATATACTTAAAAGTATGATATTAAATCACTTCAGTATCAGCTACATCCTGTCTCTCTCACTCTCCCTGCTCCCTTCCTCACTTATGTCATCAATAAAAGAAAACACATGTAATCCTTTGGCTTTCCTGTCACCATAGCCATGGTCTGGCAGATGCTTTCTGAACAGAGAATGGATTTATAGTACCAGCAGTTGCAGTCTCCTCTGAAGTTAGACATACACGATCTTCCCAGTGACCTTCCATTTTGTTGACATTTAGCAGGTTTTTCATTTAGCTTCATATTTCAAATCTGTCTAGCTTTCTTGTAATTTCATCATTGTATCTGTTGTCTTTTTGTAGTGGCATTAATAGTCTTTCAGACTTGTTACCATGAATTTTACTTGTGTTTTCTGTAGAGGAGTGGTAATTATGCCAAACCAGCATTTTCTTCTCCATGTTTCAAATGTAGCCCCCTCCAAATACTAGTCTAGTGCAATGGAAGCTAAGTTTGAAGGGAACGGAGGTAGGGGATGGAAAGAGGAAAGAAAAAAAGCACAGAATATTTTGTTTTGAAGAAATTAGTCTTTGAGGTTGATACCCTCTCTGAAGCTAGCAAAGACCTGTAGCTCTTGAGGGAAGCTCAAGGCCAGACAGCTCTGCTGATTTTACTGTAAAGGTTGTGATTGTGCAAATGGCATCTTAGTGGAGAGAGAGGGGAGAAGGGCCTGATGTGAATCAAGAGCGCATCTGCTGAAGTCAGTGGAATATACAGATGTAAAGAGATTTAAAATTAGATCAAAGACAGCTATGGATAAGTTTCATGCAATACATATGTGAATTCAAATATAAATGCCAAGAGGATGGTTAGAAGCCCTTTTTGGAGCAGATAATAATACAAATAACAGGGAGGTATTCCAGCCCAGATTTGTGACTTTAGCTTCACAGAGATTATTATAGCTCTTTCTCTAAAATGGAATTGAGTTGTTCCTGAACTACATTTAACTTTGAAATGGATAAGATAATTATAATGGAGTTAACTCATCAGTTTCCTGTAGAACAAAACAATAAAATGGAAGCCAGTACAGCTGGTGCAGTTTGCCATAATGAATGTTTTCATAGGTATTTAAGATGTACAGATCACAAACTTTGTGCTTGCTTACACAGAAAGTAAAGATTTTTTTTCAGAGAACTCATAGAAAAATGTGGCTTATGTTGACTGTAATGCAAAACCAATCAAGCAGAATCTTGCTTTTCATATGGTTTATCCATACATTTTGTTAGAAATTCTAGGTCTGCTTCATGAACAAAAGTCCCACAGAAATCTCTTGGACATAAAGATTTAATCTAAGTGAGCATTTTGAAAAAAAAATCATTGTTTGTCTGTAAGTTTGTGTTATCCCCTGAAGTGAAGAACTATGGGAATTACAAGGTTAAGATAATTAAAAGCCATGAGACAAACACTGAGTAAGGAGAGTTTTATATAGAAAACTTCATTATTGGCTTCCCTTTAGACCAGTTTATTTGTGTACAACTGGTCATTTTGTGCTGTTTAAATAAAAAGATTTTTCTCATATCATACTGAAATGTACTTTATGTCCTAACTTACTTTCATCTAAAATTAAAATTGATGGAAAAAATAATATTCCCTCTGGGTGCAGCTTATATCCTTGTCTTGGTGAGCTGGAGTATTGCTGTCACTTCAAGCTGAGAGATTGGGGTCCATGACACTTCCTTTTCTAGGAAACCTCCTCCTGGAAACCTCCACAATGACTTGCAAAATGCAAAGACCAGTTTTTATCCTTGGAGAGATCTCTGAACGCTGCAGAGACCTGCCCTGAAGACAGAACTTGGGACTTTGGCTACATGGCACTGGTTAAGAGTCCATTTCACTACTTGTGTAGTTTATGCTGAGCACCTGATTGAGCAATATAAGGAGCCCTCGTTGCCCTCTACATAGGGACACTGAGTAACCAGAGAATTTCATTACTTCATAGCTTTAATTCATGATTTGAGTTCTTACCTGCACTTATCCTTGGATTACACAGCATGTCCCAAAAAAATAATAATGCCTATTATTTGTTAATTCAGGGAAGTAGTTTTTCTATTACCTATTGCTTTATTGTCTTTGTTTTTAGTTTAATGTCACTTTAAAGTCCTCCTTATTTACTTTGTTGTCTAAAATGTACATCTTTTGAACTTGAGCAATTGGAATGAGAGAACACACAAAAGAAGTAGTGTGAAAGAAATATAATTATATTCATTATACATTCAGAAATATATTTCTTACATTTGACTATGAAAATATAGCGGTGCCTCCAGAGCATCAAAATCTTTAGGGAAACAGCAGGCAGTGCCATAAGACTAAGTTTTATATTAAATTAATTTGTTTAAGTGTGTTAATGCAGAATGAATTGTACTGTATGCAAAACTTCCTATATTAAAGAAGAACTTTAAGGGAAGAAAATCAGTATATAAGTGGTTGCCCATGCATATCTATTTATTTGAGGTCAGTAGGCTTGCAACTCTTATAACATCATGTGTTACAGTAACTGCTAACCAATAGTTCTAATAAAAATATAGATGGCTTGGTTGCAATCTCCAGTTCTTTTGAGATTCTGCAATAAATTTGTGATTAACCTTCTGTCACCACTTTTCAAAGTAAGGTATTTCTCTTCTATAATCTTTCCTTGTGTTGTTCCTCCCCCAACATTTCCTCCCCTCGCCTCTCCCTCCGCTTGGAAACCTGCTTACAAGCTTGAGGTTTTTAGGCATCTAACTTTAAGCTTTTATGGAGAATCAAGGAAAGTACATTGGAATATTATTTATATATTTATTTATTTGTGCCTCTCACAATATGGAAAAACAGGCTCCCGAAATGGGTGGATTTGAAAGACTGGAACAGACAATTAATTTGTAAGTGGGTGTTGAAGTGGAAACTGTCAGGCCACAGCTTTCCCAGCTTTCACTTCATCATTTGAAACTCCTTTTCTGTTGTTTTCACTGACTATAATCCCTTAGAGAGAACATAAAACCTGCACCATGTAGCATGGAGTTTTGCTTCCTAAATGACTTGTGCTCTGTGTTCACTCACTTCCACCCTCTCTCACTCCCTGTCGCCATTCTGTGCAGGAAAAGCCGTACCAATGTTCTGAGTGCAACAAGGCTTTCAGTCAGAAGCGCGGCCTCGATGAGCACATGCGAACCCACACTGGAGAGAAGCCTTTTCAGTGTGATGTGAGTTGGTCCATCCTTTTGCCTTCTCGACTTTGGTGCAGGATTAAGATGCAATTTTTAATGCGAATATTGGCCTTGAACCCGTTGTCTGTGGCATAAAGTTGTACCTCTGATGGTCTTTAATTTCCTAACTATTGAAAGACCATTTGGGGAATTTTATGTACCATTTTTACTTACCAAGAGCATTGCATACACTTTTATTTTATGCTTTTAAATCCCTGAAGAGTTATTTTCGCCATTCTTAATACAATTTGGATGTTACAGTGTACAAATTCATGGCATTTGGGATCTCTTGGTGTTATATGACAAGTTAATGTTTGGAGATTAGCCTGTACAGGAGAAGTTAATCAATTCATTGCATGGAATCTGAATGCTTCTGTTATGGTTTCCAATTTGTTTAATGAAAACTGGTCTTTTTAGGTTCTGTTCATGTTGTTTATTTTATTCACTGAGGAAATAAGTAATACTAAATATGCTTGCAGGGCTGGAATGTAGCATGTCATATTATAGTTCATAGGTTCCTGTCAAGTACCTTGCAGTCAGCAAGCCCCATCCTTACACAGTGTATCTCAGAACAATTAGAGAGTATGTAGGAATGCTAAATATGCATGAAGTACCTGCATATTTAAAAGAATGTCATCAGAATTATCAATTGCCAGAATTTGAGGTGATGCTCAAGGGGTTAGAGAAGGGCCAGTTGTAAGATTAGTGTAGGTGTTTTGTTTTGAGATTCTAGTTCTTCATAAATTAGTCCTCTGAAGTCTACCCATTTTCAGTTATATCCTAAATGGCTCAGTCTGAATAGTTGTCATTGTTCACAAACTTCCTAAATTAGATGCAAAAGTAGAATAACTATTTGGCATGAAATTTTCAAGGTTCTGTTAATTGGTCTGACTTTCAAAAAGTGGTGATGTTTCACTGAGAATAAATTTTATTCATTTCAGAAATAATTTCATGTATAATAGTAACAATTTAATGAAATTGTAAGTCAGGAGATTTGCAAAATTCTTTTGCAATAATCTCAGTCTGGCTATAGGTAGTACTGGAGGATTTATCTGATTCCAAATCATAGCCAGTAACTTTTTTAGTTTTAGGATTGCTGTACTGTTTATCTGTTATTGGCTTGCTTGCAATTAAGTGCAAGTTTTTCCCATACTGTTTTAGGTAAGATCAGTAGTCTGCTCTTAGCTTTGCTATATGCTTTCTGAAACCCAGTTGGGGGTTTTGTTATGTTTGGTCTTTTCCTTCCCTTTAATTTAAAATAGAGCTGCATGTAAGTTCACTGTTCTGTTTGACTGCTGCTGCTGATCCTTCTTATTAATTGGAACTGTATACACAGAACTGCATTTCCTCTGAGAATTCCTAGGTGCCTTCTCTTCTGGAGGACTTTTTAGAGTTTAGATTAATGTCTTCTTTCAACAAAATTACTTTTAAGCACTTGCTTTTTGCTACCTGCACACTGCAGAGATTGCTACTTTTCAGGGTTTGGACGCACATGAGTTGGCCTTTACTGTTCATTCGTATAATACTCAGTTGCCCAAGGCCTGTAGTGCTCTCCTGTGTGTAACAGGTGGGAGAAAGAAAATATTAGTGTTCTGTTCTTTGAAGACCAGCCTGATTTTCATCTTCTAATTTTTTTTCCTCTGAATTTCAGTTCAGAAACAACAGATTTTTCTTTGGGGGCAGAAA